TTTAAAATTACTCTAAAATTAGCGTACACAGAAATATATACAAAGAAATGTATATATACTGAGAAATTTAAACACAGAGAAAGATAGAAGTAATAACCTTGAAATAACCTCACAAGTGAATCCATAGATCAGTACTGCCAATCCTATGTACCAAATGTTATGAATTAGCTCTCTCCTGCTCCTTCCAGAACCTGGTTTTGAATAGTCTTTTGTGTGTCTGTGTTATAGTTAAATAGGCCAGTCTGAATTATTTTGTTTGCATTGGGGTAACTTGAGACTGTATACTATACTTGAATCGTGTTTTTAATTGTGTTTTTAACTCCCTGTTAGGACTACAGATTTCCTGTTTAAAGAAAGCCAAGATTTTTCCACAGTCGTCATTTTTAGGTTAAGGGAACAATTTTTGTTATTCTGCTATAATTGTCGTCGTTGGCCATAGCGAATACAGAGCTGCTGTCCAGGTAGCAGGTTTCAAGGATATCTGGTAATATACAGAATAAGGTAATTCATTGACTTGATTAGGAAATATTATCCTCATATGCCTTTCAGTTTCAGTTTTTGTTCTTTACAGCTTCTTGCCAGAGAAATAGCGTTTTTTTTTTCTTTTTCCATTCCTTTAGGATTTTGCATCTTAAATATTGTTCCAACAGGAGTGCTTGCAATTTCTGCTTCAGTGCCAGTTTTAAGATCTCAATATGCCATAATCCACCATGGCTAAAAATGCAGCAAAATCTCAAGTACAATAGCTGAAACCTTAGCCTCGGAGCATTACAGAGCGGCCAGAGGAGATTCTCACCTGGATAAATTGAAGAATCACAGTTTTGATAGAAACCAACCACTTCAATAACAGCTGTCACAGCTGAACATTGCACGATTGCCTTGTCGCAAATTATGTTGGGCCACCTGTAAGAAATAAATGAATAAATCCTGTGATGGTGCGTTGCCACCAACATTTTTTTCAGGGTTTTCCTGGCCTGCATCTGCGTGCTGCCCAGGGCCAGCTCGCCTCAAATGACCTGCATGCCTAAATCTGTGTGTGGCCATGTATCTGCACGTCTACGTGCGTGAAGCACAGTCTTATCATCCCCTCTCTGCGCGTCGAGCAATAAATTCTCAGCATATACTCTTCCCATTCAAAGGCCCAGTTTTGTCTTGTGGTTTCCCCAAACATCCTCCCTCCCTGCATCTTTGTATGTGGCTGTTGCTCAGACAGGAACTGCTTGTGTTTGCAACCTGTTAGCGTATCGTGCAGTTCTTTTATCTCCCTTTGGCATCTCCCTGCCAGCTGCCACTGCAGCCACGTACACATCTCACAGCGAATTTTCTAGGACTGCGCAGCGTTTGCAGAGCGATGCAAAATCTTTTCCCTGCTTATTTGCTCTCTGCTTTCATCCTAACACCTCCGGCCCCTTTTCTAAGCCCTGTGCTATGTCCTCACCCCTTCTTTTTGCTCACCCCCTGCAAAACCAAACGGGTACCCCTCGCTGATGCTCGAGACCCTAGTTAGGCCATGCCCAGCCAGTCACCGCTCTGCGCTGCAGCTCTTCAGCTGCTGCTTCTCGTGGCAGGAGGGCGACCGTCCCACTTGGGTCTCCTTCGTGGCCATCAGGACATTTCTGTGGGGCTCATCTCTTGGAAACGCATCTGCGCTGCCTGTTCAAGCACAAGGCCTGCAGCCAGCAGCACCGCTGTTTACGATGGCACCCAGCGATGGCCGGTGCCTTGAGGCTTGTGCCCTTCTCCCTCCCCATTGCTTTGCTGGGCCCTCAGTGGTGACAACGAGCATGACCGGTCCCCTTTCCTACCAGCTGCTAGTAGCAGAGGCGGGAAATGGATCCAAATCTTCTGCACCCCCATCCGAAACCTCAGCCGCAAGGCCGCCCTACCGCTCTCTCTGCCGCTTTTATTTTTGAGCCTGCAGCACTTTCAGACCTGCAACACATCCTCTGCAAAGGTTAAATTCAAAATGAGTCGTGCAAAGAGAAATCTGTCTCTGAGGGCCCTCCCCAGCCCCCTCCGAAGCCAAACGGAGCCGTCTGCGCTTCGAGGCAGCCTGCACGGCTGCAAGCTGCAGGAGCGGCGCGCTGTTATTTTAGCTTCCGAGGAAAGTAATTACTATAGCAACCAACACGGCCAAATGGCTCTTTGGCTGCTCCTGAGACGCAAACAACTTGCATACAGAGGCGTTTCTGAGACATGCCGCGTTCAGAGCGCTCTCGGGTAGCTGCGTTTTTTTGGCGAGCTTTGGGAAACGTGTGTAACCGGCTCCCGATAAACGATCGCCAGGATTACAGCAAGCAATTGCTCCGTGCCAGCTCTTAAAATAACCTGATCGATGGCACAGCATCGTTTGCCTCTGTCGAGATGAAGCACAAAGCGGTGCCGGCTCCGTTTTGGGTGCCACGCTCAGCGCCCAGCAGAGCAGAAGATGCAGATGGGGAAACGGTGGGGAAAACGTCTCCACTTTTGTTCTGTCTGTGGATGCAAACTCCCCGCGGGCTTCAACAGCTCCAGTGCTGGCTCTGCCCCTCAGGCTCACGCAAGATTTTTCATAAAGGATTTAATTACAGCCTTGCAAGGCAAGCGTCTTGGGCACCCGCTCACTGTAATCACTGGCCATTGCTCAACTCCCGGAGCGTTTCCATGGGCTTCGAATCAAAACGCCACGGACATCATATCCTCTTCTTGCTGGGCTCTCCACACAAAGCAGCACCTCTTCACGATGTTGAGACGAGCAGCTCAGGTGCCCTAAGAACAAGAGATTTTGTTGTAGTGGGAGAAGGCTGTCCAAAGATTTCTCCACAGGGCAGGAATAGATATTTCTCCTATCAAGGTAGGTGACTGGCATTAACTGCACACTCCACTTCAGCTGCACGACGCCGCTGTCAGATGCGGCAGACTTGGTGCATTTCAGCAAAACATTTAAGTGGAGGTCGAGTTCTGCACACAGAAACAAGTGCAGGAAATCAGCAGGTGACCGCAGTGCAGGCCTGCGCGTGTCCCCACAGACACGGCCCCCTTCGGAAGGGGCTGCTTTAATCTGACACCTTGCGGCAGTCAGCACACTGATAGCCTCAAGGCAGGTCTTACAGGCAATAAATGTTGTTAGTACTGCCATGGTAAATCTGGCATGGTCACCTTGACTGTCCTTCCCCTATTTTAACTCCCTGTAGCTGTAGCACTACCATTTCTCTGTAAAACAAGACCTCTCTGAGGGTTTTTATTGTTTGGGAGAGTCATATAGAAAGCAGTTACTTCAGTGCTTCAAATCTAGCCATGATTCATGGCTCCAAGAGGTAAAACTGGTGCAAAAATTTGGGTCAGAAATATCAAGTCTTTTGATGAGCTACATTTTTTTGCTGCTGATAAGGAACAAGCTTGCGATTGGAGCTGATAACCCCTTGTTTTGGTTAAACTTAGCCTTTCAAGCAAAATCATTTTGGGATTAAAGAAAACCATCTCAAACCACAAAATTAAAGTAACAATAAGAAAGTAGCACCAGCATGTGTAAAACCCAACACTTCCTTTCTGCCTTGCAAAACTGCATTTGCCCTGCAAACACCTAGAATTTCCAAGCAGAAGAATCCAGGGAAATACATTCTCCTCTAACTTTCCTCATAAGGTTATCTTCTGAGAGTACTTGGCAGTGCAATAAACACTTGCCTCTCCAAAAACCTGCACGTCTTCACGATATGTCTTTCTGTTAATTTTGGGGTGAGGCTTTAAAGGCAGAACCATTCACTTAACCATCTGACTTCTCACTTTGCCTTTGCAGCCAAGGCAAGGAGCCTTCACTGTGAGCCTCTGCCATCCCTGCAAGGTGACCTTCAGTGACAGAGCTCATAAAACCTCGCTCCTCACTAATATTTTTGGTTTTGTTGGGTTGCAAAAGGCTGGTGAAAGCGAGGGGAAAGATGGAGCAGGGAGCTCATGCACTGCCTAGCTATCTGTGTGGAGCTGAAAGGCAAAGGGAGATGAAACTGGAGATAAAAAGGGATGTGAAAGGCAGATGAAACCGAAGTCTTGGAGATGTGGAGCAACCTTTTCTCAATGCTCACTGGTGCACTGGTGGGAGCCCAGCACTGTGCATTTCTTTGTGAAAGAAAAATAAAAATGAGAAGTGCTTGTGTTTGAGCCTCCCTATGGGCAAAACTCATGCCACAGGCCTGAAAGGAACTCTTCCTGTGAGGTGGGAATGACCAAAAAGAAAACGCAGCGCGGCTAGTGCCAAGTGCAAAGTGCATTCACTTACAACACTAATTTCAAATAGAGAGCGTTAACTGGCACTAAAGCACAGCATTTACGTTACGCTATATCACGTTAATGGATAACAGCTGGCTGCCGGATTCACAGAATCCCAGAATGGTTGAGGTTGGAAGGGGCCTCTGGAGATCACCCAGTCCAGCCCCCTGCTCCAGCAGGGACACCCAGAGCACAGGGTGGCATCCAGGCGGGCTGGAAGATCTCCAGAGAAGGAGCCTCCACAGCCTCTGGGCAGCCTGTGCCAGGGCTCTGGCACCCTCACAGCAAAGAAGTTCTTCCTCACACGGAGATGGAACTGCCTGGGTTTCAACTTGCACCCGTTACCCCTGGTCCTGTCACCGGCCGATACTGAGAAGAGTTTGGCCCCGTCCTCCCTACATTCTCCCCCCAGATATTTATACAAATTGATCAGATCCCCTCTCAATCTTTCCTTCTCCGGGCTAACCAGGCCCAGCTCGCTTAGCCTTTCCTCATACAATTCCTGATTTAAAGAAGCGAGCGGCATTTTGCCGTACTCCATGCGCTCCCGTGGTGCCAGCGGCGGGAGAGGAGGAAGAGGCCACGGGAATGGGCGCTGGCGCCGAGCAAGGATCCGGCAGGAAGCGGCGCTCGGTTTAACTCCTCCCCGCCGCCGTGAGGCCCTGGGAGGCGCCCGGATCCTCTGCAGGCTCCACATACCCCGATCCCGGTTTGCTCGGCTCCCGGCCACCTCGCTTCATCCCGCCCGGAGGGGCCGCAGAGGCGGCAGCGATGACGGAGGTGACGAGGGAAGCGTTCGGGCGCCTGCCCCAGGAGGAAGGAGGGGGGACGGTGGAGAAGTTCACGCTCAAGTCCGACAGCGTCAAAGTGGAGATCCTGTCCTTGGGGTGCATCATCGCTGCTCTGGAGACCAAAGACAGGGATGGGACCTTTGCGGATGTTGTCCTGGGCTTCGACAGCTTGGAAGGTGGGTCTGAATCTGCTAAAATAATAGTAATAACACTAATAACAAAAATGGGAGAATTTAACCAGCTGGGCTCAGCGCTGGGCAGGGAAAAGGGACCCTGTGTGGCTCTAGTGTTGGGGTGGCTCCGTGGCACGCCGGGACTGGCAGCACTGGACAAAATCCCTGCAATTTCACACCAAACACACTCCCTTCCTCCAGTTGCTTTAATAAAAATGGGAAACACCAGCCAGTGCCTCCCCGGGCACATCCTATGAGCCCCAGGAGCCTTGAGGTCCCCGCAGGCCGTAACGCCCGTTACCGCTGCCCTTGTGCCCAGGTTACACGAGGAAGCACCCCTTCTTCGGGGCCGTCGTGGGGAGAGTTGCCAACCGGATCGCGAAGGGGAGGTTCGTCCTGGACGGCCAGGAGTATCAGCTGGCCCTCAACAACGGGCCCAACAGCCTGCATGGAGGAGCCAAGGGCTTTGACAAGGTAAAGCCCGGCCTGGGGGCTCCGTCAGCCCCCGGGGGACAGCGAGAGGGGTCTTGAGTCCTGACTTTTTAGGGATTTCTGGCGTGTTAAAGAGTTTTGGATCTGCCCATGCCCCAGCGTCGCGCTCTGCCCTCTCCAACGCTTCCATTTTCCTCAGGATAGCTCTGTGAGGAGCAAGAGCAGCCGTGTGTCTCTTCCCTCCGATAGCCTTGCTGATAATCTCCGTTTTTCCATAATGGATGGAAATTTCCGCTTTCCTGAAGCCTTGGGCTTTGTCAGATAGAGTGCTTTGCCAGGCGCTGATCCACAGCTTCCCTGGAGGAACTTGTGCAAATGTACAGCTGCTTTCCTGGGTTAATGTTTTGCTCTGTGGAAGAACATCCAGCCTGACCGGGCAAAAGTCAGAGCATTGAGGGGAGGAAAAAAAAAAAATCACTTAATGAGCAGCACCATGAACTGGCGTCAAACCAGGTTTCAAACCTTCCTCACGCCAGCCCCTGGGGCAAGTTCAGGTGTCTGCAAAAGGCCCTGCTAAAAGCCCAGCCCTCTGGAAGCTGCTGCAAACACATTTGGGGCAGAAGGTGTAAAATCCCAGGGCCTGGTGGTGGCCACGGCGGCTCTTCCTGCCAGGGAACGTGTGGGCTCGACCTGCTTAACCGACTGGGAGCTCCCGCTGAACCGATGCGGCCGATCTCTGCACAGGAAAAGGACCCGCGTTGGAGTCCGCGTCTTGCCTCTGGCACCCCAACTTCCTGCTTTGGGTGAAAACGTTGCCTTTTGACATGTGTCATTTCGTGAACTGCACAGGGCTTGGATGGGGTGATCTCAAGAGCACTGCCAGGGCCTTGTCCCCAGGTCATTCCTGTGTGATTAGGGAGTGACTGTGCCTTGGAAACACCAACTGTAGCCTGCACCCTCTGGGACAGGGCACCACAAAGGTGTCCAGGACGGATTCCACCCCCATCACAGCAAGCTGCCCCACTTGTTCCGCTCCACATGGTAAAACTTATTCCCTGAGTCAGCTAGGGCTGACTAAGAGCAGGCTGGTATTCTCATGTGTTTTCTTCCAGCTTCCCTTTTTTGCAAAACGGGAATGTTATTCTTCAGTCCTTCATAGGTAGAAATAGGCAGATGTTTTTTCTAGATGGAAGAGCTGGGAAGGTGGCTGAGAAAAACCCTTGTGTTTCTTTGGGTGTTCCTCGGGTGTTTCCTCTGCCCAGGATGAGGGAGGGGAGCGCTGCATTTCCCTTGGCAGCTCACAGCACCGTCCTTGCAGGTTCTCTGGAGCCCCGAGGTCGTGCCGAGCGGCGTCCGCTTCTTCCGTGTCAGCCCGGATGGAGAGGAAGGCTACCCCGGCGAGCTCGAGGTCTGGGTCACCTACACGCTGCGCGGCGGGGAGCTGGCCATCAACTACCGAGCCCGGAGCAGCAGGACGACCCCCGTGAGCCTGACGAACCACGCGTACTTCAACCTGGCCGGGCAGGTGAGTGCGAGAGGGCCCAGCAGCGCAGAGCAGCTGCAGGGGAGCGAGAGGAGCCCTTGGAGAAGAGACTTCCCCTGGGATTGTTGGAAGAAAAATCGTTAGTTGGTGGCAGGCGCCTAGAAAAGGGTGTGTGGATTTGTTCCTCCCTAGGTGCAGGACTCTCTACTTCCCTTTGTTGAACTTCAGGAGGGTCTCTCCCTCCAGCCTGTCACAGTCCCTCTGAATGGCAGCAGAGCCCTTTGCTGGACCAGCAGACTTGCTGAGGGCTCCCTCTGCCCCTCATTCAGGTCCCTGAAGCAGCAGCTGAACACGCTGGGCACAATATTGACCCCTGGGCGAGCACCACTCACTACAGGCCTCCCACTAGCCTGCCCCACTGATCAGAGCCCCCTGCGCTCTGCCGTGCAGCCCGTTCTGAGCCCACACACTGTCCTCCCTCCACTAGGGACAACCGGGCAGCGTCGGTCTCCCCTGGGTCCTCGAGAGGGTAACAGGAGGGGCAGAGCTGGCACTGCCCTCAGTGCACTCATTTATCTTGTCTATCTCCTGTGACCCTTTCTGAGGCCACGTGCTGAACCTCCATCTGGATGGCATGGCTGGAATCAGCTCAGCACATAGATGGTCTGATCAAGAGAAATCCCGTGCTGAAAAGGGACATGATGGGGCCAAGGTGGCACCATGGGGCAGTAGCAGAAGGGCATGTAGGTCCCAAACACCAATCAGGGGTCTTGTCACCTTGTCTGCACTGTTTCTCATCCATATTTCAGTCTCGCTGTGTTTCTAACTGGCCTTGGAAGAAATATCACCTCTGGACAGGGAGTATGAGATGTATCCTAGGACCTGAATCCCTTAAGACACAGACCTGAACTCATCTATAGTCCTAGAAACATCCCAAGCCTTCCAGGCAGGGTGTCTGCTTATGCTATTGCTCCAGTAATGACTTTGCAGTTAAATCACCCTCAGTTTGTCCTCCCAGCAGTTACACAAGCCCCTACAGCATGCAACTTGGGCACATTTCCAGAAGAACAGCAGCCTTCGGGTATGAATTTGCTGCTCGGATTAGGCAGTGCTGTACACAGCTGGACACATGCAGCACATACTCAGGTGGTTGAACAGCCACAGCAAATATTTCCTATCCTCCCCCAGGGCTCAAAGGACATCTATGACCACGAGATTTCCATTGAAGCTGACTCTTACCTGCCCGTGGATGACACCAAGATCCCTACTGGTAGGTGGTATAAGGCTCCTCACTGCACACAGGGGAGAAGGTTTCACTGATGAGTGTTTGGGGGTCCAGAGAACATGGTTAAAAAGAAGGAGGCTGCAACGCAGGTTCAAGAGGCTCATCCAGAACCACCTACCTGCCACACAAGCCCAAGGACCACCTGGAGCCATAGAGAAAAGGGAGCAGAGGTGGCACCTACAGCATAGGCCAGGCTGAGCTCCTGGGCCCATGGGCTTCTGGGTTTATGTCTGAGGGTTGGGAGAGGACCCAGGTGAGGCCTTTTAGGCATTTTGGTTGTGGATGTAGAGAGCCTGGAGCACAAATCACTTCCCAAGGCCCCTTTTGCCCCCATTTCTGAGCGCTCGGGGGTTCAGTGCTCACCTCCCTGCGTTTGTCCCCTGCTTTAATGCTGGCCCTTGTCACGAGTCGGCTGCAGCCATCGTGTGCGTGCAACCCTCCTCAGCGGGTTTTGGCAGTGGGAGCTCCAAAACCACTGGGATTTTCGGTGTTTGGGAGCTCCGTGTCATCCTCCCTGCATGAAATGAGGTGTCAGTCAGAATGGGAGAGCCAGCATGGTTTGCTACCAGTCTGAATGCCCCAAAGTGGCACTTCTAATACAGCTTATTTTTTTCAGCTAGCTTTAATATCCTGCAGGCCAGTAAGAGGAGAGCTGGTTAACAAAAACCTGCTTGTTTTGCATGCTAAGTGGGTTATTTAAACACAGGTGCTGTTACTGCTGCCTCAGTGTAGAAGGGAGCTGTCAGCCTCTTGCATGCTGCATTGATTTGGGGGGAAAAAAAAGGATAAAACTGGACTTCTCCTGTTGCTCATTTTGGATGGTTTGAGATTAGTCCTCCAGCAGCTCCACCTGAGCACCAACTTTGGGGTTTTGTCTAAGGGACCCCAATGAGTTGCAGAAAGAGCAGGTTGCAATGCAGAATGAGTCTAAGAATGAGTCAGGTTTGGTTGTGAACAGGACTGTTTTGAAAAAGGAAATTTTCAGAAAAGCGGGCCCAGGTATTTGTTCCTAAATAATGGATTTTTCATCATCCCTCCTGGTTTAGAGGAGACCAGATCAGGTCAGCAGGTGAGCAGAGTGGAACCCGCAGGTTTTGCCTCTCTGATGTCCTTGTAGGGCCACTTTGTCCAGCACAAGGTGGAGGAAAAGCATCTTCAAAAAAAAAAAAAAAAAGAAAAACAAGCAAGGAAGCTTTTTTTGTTTGGGTGTCTGCTGTACCCAAAGTCACGTTTGCTTTTGCAAACCACAACCAGCTGTGCACACATCGCTTGGTGCCTGGAGAAGTGTCTTAGCTAAAGGCGTCCACCGAAGCTGAGGAGACCCTGGCTGCTCTCAGCCCTGGGATGAAGGCCAGGCTCGTGCAGCCCTTCTGTCCAGCTGTGGCTGGATTTTAAGTAGGTGCCTAAATCAAAATGGTTTAAGATTCTTTTTGTGAACTGCTCCCACTAGCAAGGGATAGGAAAATGCGACTTCCAGGGGGAAAAAATCCCCCGCTGAAATTTATATTTGGTTTGGGACACTGCATTTTGTGCTGTTCTACATGTTGCACGGGGGTTGTTCTCCCTGGGAGTTTTCATTGCAGGACGCAGCGTTCCCACATGTATCCTTAAAAAGGAGGCTTGAGGGTAAGTGTTGGGTTTGCAGTCCCCGGGATGAGGGAGCCGGGCTCCGGTGCGTCCGAGGCTGGAGAAGCCTCTCTTGCCGCCTGCGAAGCCGGGAGCCTGGCGGCATTTCTGGCTTTCACGGCCCTCAGCCGCTCTCGTCGCGCAGGGGAGGTGGCCGCCGTGCAGGGCACGGCCTTCGATCTGCGGGCGCCCGTGCAGCTGGGGAGGCACCTGCAGCGCTTCCACCTGGACGGCTTCGATCACAACTTCTGCCTGAGGCCGGGCTCGGCGCGGCGGCTCGCGGCCAGGTAGGACGGGCTTCCCCAGGCTCCCCTGGGCGCCCGCGCAGCCTCCCGTCGCCGCCAACGCTGTGGCGACGCGCGCAGGGCTCGGCACCCGGCCAGCGGCAGGAGCCTGGAGGTGCACACCACGCAGCCCGGCCTGCAGTTCTACACCGGCAACAACCTCGACGGCTCCCTCAAGGGCAAAGGCTCCGCCGCCTACGCCAAGCACTCGGCCTTCTGCCTGGAAACGCAGAGCTGGCCCGACGCCGTCAACAAGGTGAGGGCTCCCCGAAAGCCTTTGGCCTCCTCCTCAGCCCCTGCTGAGCTCGCCGGGGCGGCGTGAGGAAGAGCCCTCGCTGGCAGGGAGGAGGAGGAACGGGGATTTTAGCGACGCGCCGCAGCCCGGCCTCCCTGCCCCGCGGTTCCTCACCTACAGCCGCACTTCCCCGAGACGCTGCTGCGCCCGGGCCAGGAGTACGAGCACAGCACGTGGCTGCTCTTCGCCGCTGCGTGAGGCCTGCGGACTCGGAGCGAGCGGCCGGAGCAGGTGAGCCGGGAAGCGCCCGGGGTGGCTCTCGCAGCCTTGTCCTTCCTCCTGCGCCTGTCACCAGCAAGTGGGAGGCAAAGGTGAAAAGCGCAGGAGGAACAAAAAGTCCCTCAACTGCCCCATTAATCTTTTTCTTCATTTTAAGGATACTGTTACAGTTTACAGTTGATGCAATCTACCATTACCTATTTCACTAGGGGCCCAAATAGCCCTCACTTTCCATTCCTGTGCTTGCTTAGACAGGTTTGTAAAGCTTTAACAATGGAAGTGGCATAGATTTCTGCTAGATATTCCATCACACTTTAAAAAAATAAGAAAAAAAAAACACTTCAGTTACCATTTTTTGGTCAGTCTAGCCTTGTTTCCAGTCTTTTGGTGGGATCTGTCAACCAAGTGCCTTATCATGCAATTTTTGCCTACAGCATGAGTAAAGTTCGCTGTACGTATGTACAAATCATGAAGCCTTCAGCTATGTGCTTGTTGTAGGAAACCAGCTTAAACCAATAAATGTAAGTCCAGGATCTGAGCTCCTTTAAAAATGCTGTTTTCTGTGCAGCAGGTTAGAATTCCTGAGGTTGGTGAGGAGATAAGGAAGGCAGAGAGCACTGCAGGATGACCACAACCAGCTTCCACTTGCACACGTATTCAAAAGTTCCTGCAGAGTTTGTTTCCTTATGTCTTCCCTCAAAAAAAAAATCCTAAAATATTTCAAGGCATGTTTTTCTTCTTTAAACTCCAATTGAACAACAGCAGGAAAATGTAGGAAATGCAGGAAAAAATCATTTAGTTATTAATGGTTTGTATTCTGTTTGGGTATTTTTGCCCATGTTATTTATTTAAACTGTGCTAGTGTTTTGAATAAAAGCTCCTTCTTACATTTTTGGACATCTGGCATCACACTAGCTCAACCATGAAATACACCAACAAGAAAAAATAAATCCATCAAGGAGAAAAATGAATGCTCTTTAAAGATCAGAGAAGAATAAAAAAGGCATATGCAAGTTTTTAAGCCATCTGCAAAGAGAAAATGAATTTCAAATTTCATTTCAAAGAAAGCAGAAACTGATCCTATCCAGTTCCCAAAGACCATTTCACTATAAGTGTGGGCAGGGACTGGCTTGAGAAGACACCAACATCACTCTTTGCCACTTCAGACATTTTTCATCCATACCATCCAGTAAAAGCTACCCCAGTGTTAAAAGCAGCAGCAGCATTACCACAGCGAAGCTTTAGTTAAAAATACACATTTTATTTCAATGTGCCAATAAAAAAGTCCCACATTTTCATATCACAGGAAGTTGATTCATACAATAAAAACTGGCCTGTGCTAGTCTATTGCTGTGACTAACTCACGAGACCCAGATCATGCCAAATTTTCATTCATATACTCTTCTATCTACATTCTGACATTTACAAAGACACCACAAAAAAATCCCTTATTATAATGTAAGCAAAATAACTTTCTTCACAAAAGTTTGTAACTCTAATCCATTCCTTCAGGGCTTGCACTTCTTTGAGGGCTTCCTGATGGTGAGTGACTGAAAGGAAGAAGAAAAAACATCACAGTTAAAACTGCAGTAGTGATACCTGATTCACAAATATGGGAAAAAAGGTGATGGATATCTCAGAAACTTCAGCACCCTTCAAGCACTGATCGTCAATTAAACAAACAAACAAAAAATCTACTGACAAAATTAATGGGCTGATTATTTCCATGTTAGAGAAACTGCATTTATCTTACTACCGAGAAAAAAAAAAAAAAAGAGAAAATACATATTTGTAACAATCCCAGTAAGAAAAATTTTCTTCATAATGAGCCCTATTAAACAAAATCAATCTAAATACTTGCTTTTACCAATGTAGAACTATATTTTTACATTTCTCTACTGCAACCTCTGTAATACTATTATGGTGATCACTTTGATATATAATGAGCATTTATCCAAGTCCCACGTGGTTACTGATGAGGTTAGACTATATATTGTAGTTTTTAAATGAAGAAAAAAGAAACCCACAAGTCTAAGGAGCAACTTCTGGGGCAGAAAGACGACCAAGGTGCAAGACTCACAGTAGCAGGACTACAGCTATTCTAAATACCACATATCCCCTCTCTATGTATTTTAAACAGTCTTGGTTCAGTAAAACTGATACAGAACTGAAAATAACAGAGCAGCAACTGAGGGAAAGACAGAATATGGCTACGAAACCAGTATCGTGGGGGAGTGCTTTACATTAATGGGAGCAGTAACCACATTCACATTTGTATCAGAGCAAGTTATTTCAGCAAAATTCCCTTTTTTTTCCTAACATTTTACTCTGAGTAGCAGTTACACTCCTCAGCACAGAGCTCTGCAGGTAACACAACGTGAATTCAATGCACTGTAGGCTACTAGGATAGAGAACAACCCACCTTCTCTTTGGAGATGGTGATCGGGACTTTGATCGACTGTCAAAACAGAGCACAATTAATGCAGCTTAGTTAAAAATGAACTTACAGATTCAAGACAGTAAATATCTTAGACAGCAATGTAATTATCATCAAAAATTGAGCATGAAGTTTTTTAAAACAGCAGTTATCAGATCAGCTTTTACAATAGTAAGGATTCTTAGTTGGCGTAGACTAATTTTAAGGAGCCATCCTCAATAGAGGAGACACTGGAAAAAAGGAGGAAGAACTGAGATGAGGCTTTGAGACAAAAAAGTTATGGATCCTTTCTAGCATTCTGCCCACAGCATTAACAAAGCTAATGCCTTTTATCTGATGGGCAGTGGAATTCAACAGAATTCAGCACAACGAAATCATTGATGTGATAGAAACCACTAAGAACTAGTGAAAAAAAAAAAAAGAGGTGGGTAAGGAATATATTCCCAATAACATCCAGGGAAACCATATAGTCACTGTTGTGTCTGAAGCGGATCAGCTCGGTGCTTGTGCTGTAGGTTATTTTTTTTCTAAAAGCCACCAGATGCAAGTGATTAACAAATTTATAAAATATTACCTGAGACACTGATCCAGGGAGCGGATTTTGTCTATCATGAAAAAACAATACTGAGTTCTAGCTAAAAATGGGGATTTTATCTTTGTATTCTCACCTCTTAGCCGGGGAGCCAGATTTAGATCTGCCATGTGACCTGGACCTACAGGAGGGAAAAACACAGTTTAGCAAGGCCCTGCTTTGACATGGCAAGACTCACACTGAGGGCATAAAAACTGTGCTGAACACAGTCCTGCAGATTTACAGGCCTTATTTTGCTAAGTTTTGAAGAAAATGCCTTCTGAACTGGTGCTGCACCCAGGCTCAGCACTGTGGCATGAGGCTGATGCCAGTGGCAGGGGCTCACAAAAAGCCATGCTCTGAACTTGTCTTTTTGCCAGGCTTGAGTTTCACCTGCCACTATGAAGTGGCTGCAGGCGGCTGCTCCATGAGTGCATGGTGCCTTCAGTTCAGTACATTTAATCTTCTATACACACTTGATAAAAAATGTTCTTTTAAATCTTAATCATTTTGAAAAGTCTCAAAAATAACATTTTTTTTCAATAAAACTGCTGCACTAGAACATTACAGAAATAAAATAATTCTCAGAGCCCATAAAGGAAGGTTATACATTTCACATCTGAGGCTTTCCACAACTACTTCCAGATTTATGCTTTAATGCTGCCAACACAGCAAACACAATGTAATTCTTCAAAGTCTACGGTCAGTGCTGTGCACTCCTTTGATCTTTCTGCAAAGAACCCATCTTTGAATTGCCCAATATGGAAATGTAGGAGCGACTTCATTAGAAATTAAACAATTGCAATCACAGCACATGTTGCTTTATTGTGGAAGGACATCACGATACTGAAGAGAACAAATGACAGGCTGTATTTCTTCAAAATATGATGGCCACGCTGCTGGCACATTCAATGGTACAAAATGGTTCGTCAAGCTGTTGTACTATCTCCAATTTAATTCAACCATCACAAATCAACTCACTGTGAATGAAGTTTGTTGTTATTTAAGACACCTGGAAAACAGCTGTGCCTCTCAGAGCACTAGCGAGTCCTTTAAGACTTGATTGTTTACATACATTTATGCTTTAAAAACACTACCAAATGGGCATTCTCATTTTTGATAAATTATGGGAAGTATCTGCAGTGGCAGACGTGCAACTCAGAGCAAAGCACTCTTCCCAATAAATTCTACATTTGTTTGTCACGTCACTGAAGTAATGACGCAAACCAACCAAACTGTACTTCTGTTCACTAACAGGACCTAGGTGTTGATACGTAAAATAAAGAGAAAGAACGACTTTCTGTATAGTTTTCTTCTATGGCTTCCAACCCATATCTTTGCAGGAAGAACACTGAACTTTTCTTGAAATCTTAAAGAACAGAAAACATTAACAGATCTTTAAGTAATTAAGTATCCTCCATCACTGCGGAGATCTTACCTGCTTCGTGGCCACGTAACAGATCTGGATCTAGACCTCGATCTTGACCTAGACCTGAATAAAGAAAATTAAGAACATAAAGATGATCAAAGAATGCAACTCCACTAGGAGTGATGACTGTTATAACACTACTTACATTAATATCTACATATTGAGGGCAACATCTGCATGTTTACTAGGTAGTTTAGACATCGAAATTCATCATGGGACATGCAGTTGTACTGAAGTCCCAAAAAGTAACCAGATTACCATGCTTTTAAGTTTATTCAGAATTACTGGTGACTTTTTAAAGCATTCTTAGACTGACTGATTACCTTGATCTCTTCAAGGAACCTGATCGGGACCGGCGAGGAGAGACAGATCTAGACCTACGAGGAGAAACGGACCGAGACCTACGATAGGAAGCTGACCTGGACCTGCAAAAGAGAATTAAAAAACGGATTATAAAATTGTAGCTCTTTTTTTCCGGAAAAAAAAAGAAAAAAATGAAGGAAAAAAAGACAAAGTTAAGCTCACCTCCTACCACGACTGCGACTGCGTGACCGAGAATACCTTCTTCCTCGGGACCTTGACCGGGATCGAGACCGGGACCTAGTTTTAGGTTAGAGAAAACAGGTATCAGAAAACAGTCACGGCAATCTGTGCATGTGAACCTCTGCTGAAGTCAAAACTTTCAGACAACTAAAGAACTAGCATCTGTCAGTTGGAAAAAATGTCTGGGCCTACTTGTCTTGAGCATTTTTACTACCTAGAAAAATGTTAAAAGCTGTAATACATTGCAGAATTACATTAGAATAGAAAACACTGTAATGTGTATTTAAAATAAACCTTGCAAGTTTGCAGGTCGACCCTCTTTGGCCCAAGGTCTAGCAGATCTAGACGATCTAGAAGTATCTATAGCCGATCGCTGCATCTAGGTGTTCTCTTCAATCTAACGACGATCAAACTGACAGCCCAATGAGCCAGGGTGAGGCTTGATTGACGCAAGAAGATTTTTCTAGGTGGGAATGTGGTCAATCTGGTGTTCCTCTTTCTAAACCGGAGGGGGGGCCCCAATTGAAAGCCAAATTTACTGTTACGGCGATCACCGTCTCAAATTTTCTGCCCTTAAAGAATAAGGTGAAGCTACGTGTAGATGGCTCGAGGGGATCTGGCCTCTTATGCTGATCACCTCAAGGTCTAGGAGGATCTTAAGTGTCGGATTTGCAAGGCGCCTCAGCATGAAATCTTAAGGCTCGTGACATTCTGAATCAAGGCGACTGACTCAAACGAAGAAACCTGAAAGGTTTTGACCAGGTTGATTATTAAGATATTAACATTTGATAGAAATAGCAACAAATTGTAATATACGCCTATACATTTATTCTAGCTTTAAAGTTAAAAGAAAACTGGCGTAACATTCTCTTCTTTGCTAACAAGAGCTACACAAGACTTAACTGGTGAAGCAACCCGGCCACGCTGGTCCCACACGTACCTGCTCCTCCTTCGGCGACTATAGCGATGGCAATCATAAGCATAGTGGCCTTTCTCGCCACACTCATAGCATCTGTCATTGGGGTCAAAAGGGCGCCGCGCCGGGGGCCTGTCATAGCGGGAGCGACGGGGCATCCCTGTTGACACTTCCACTCTAACCCTGGAGCCACAGATCACCCTGGAACAAATTCACAGCGGCTATAAGTTACCTTAGTGCTTTTCTGCTTAAAGCGAGACTAAAAGAAAAGAGAAAATTCCCGATTCATTCTCCCGTTGGTTTTGAATAGCTCGCACAGCCGAAATACCTACTTGCCATCGAGCCCACGGACGGCATCCTCGGCATCCCTCGGGTCCTCGAACTCCACGAAGGCGAACCCCGGCGGGTTCCTCGCGATCCACACGGTGCGCAGCGGCCCGTAGTAGCTGAAGGCTCTCTCCAGCTCGCCCTTGCCGGCGCCCGTGCCCAGGTT